ATTTAAGATTGATCGTATTTCATTCACAGCTACTTTGGGATTAATCAGATTAAAAATATTAATCATTTGACAGCATTATAAAAAATATAAAAACTATCTGCACAGATGCAGAGAGAATGAGGATTACTGAAGGACTTTACTGAAATGCATCAAAGAGGCAAACAGATAATGAAAACAAGCAGGCAGTGGCAGATGAAGATGAAGCAGATGTGTTTCTGCTTCAGTCGCTGGCTCCACCTTCATGTCCGTCTCTCTGGGAATGTGGTCCTTAAAATCCTCCACTGAGCTGACCAGGAAGGGAATGTGACACGACAACACCTGGAGGAACAGGACAAAAGGTGAGGACATGTCAAAATGATTGACAGGTTTGTCTGAGCCTAACTTACGTCTCTCAGAGCTTCCTGAGCCAGAGAGCGGAAGGACAGGATGACTCCGATGATGGTCATCCTCTTCAACACGCTGTCCACAGCTGCCAACACACACAAACAACTGGTTAACTGGGAACACATGAGGGGGGAGGGCTGTGTGTGTGTGAGTGTTGGTGATTACAGGTGAGTTTCTTAAAGAGGGCAGCCATGTGGTCTGGTTTGTCAAAGCTCGTCCTCATCTGGGTCAACACCTCCATGTTCTCCACCACCAGCTTCTGCACGACAGACACAAGAAAAATACATCTTTTATTCTGAAAATCCAGACGTTTCCAGGTTCATGCAGCATGGCAGGCAATATGTATTACTTTATTTATTAATGGTTTCTTCCTTAATTACAAATACACACGTGGACAAAACTGTTGGTGCCCCTCATTTAATGAGTGGTCACAGAAATAACTAGAATCTGACAAAAGTAATAAATAAAAATTCTGTTACAATTAACAAATGAAAGTCAGACATTTCTTTTCAACCAGGCTTCAACAGAACAAAAAGAAAATCAAACTCATGAAACAGGCCTGGACAGAGAATAATGTGACCAAAGCGTCATGTTAAATCAAGGTGTGTCCACTAATTATCATCACAGGTGTCTATAGTCTTCCTATCATTCAGTGGGTCTGTAGATTTAATGGGAGACGACCAACGAGGACACCATTGCTGAAAACAAACCATAAAAAGATAGAACATGACACCAACCATCGCTGATGTCCCAACTGTTGCAGTTTTGTTGGAATCATCACAGACCCTCATCGTTTCAATCATCTCAGACAGACGGACAAGAGGGGCTAAAGTCATCTTGTCAAACTACGACACAAACGTGTTGAGCAGGTCTCCCTATTGATGCACACAAAGTTTGGTTCAGATCGGATCATGCATGTGTGATTTAGAGCCAACTGTATTGTCAACAGCATGATGTCGAATTAGGCCACGCCCCCCAAATTGGACTGCATTCCTGTAGGAGGTGGATTAGGATCGACTACAGTGAATTTGGTGCAGATTGGCTGAAATATGTGGAATTTAGAGCCAAACGTATGTCAACAGTGTGATGTCTGACTTTGCCACACCGCCATGACCACGCCTTTCACCAAAAACTATTTGTGCCTGAAAACAAGTGAGATCAAGGTCTTATCTGTGTTCTGACACAAGTTGTTGCTGATTAGGTCAAGAGGGTCAGAGATGGAGCTTTCAAAGCCAAAAAAAGGTCACTTCCTGTTGTCATGGGGCGGGGCTATGATGATGTCATTTGACCACATTCTATTCTGTTATCAACTAGTTTTGACAATGTTACTACTGTTTGGAGACGTAGAGAAAGAAATACAATTTTCTTCACGTTACAGGATTACTGAGAAGACGCAAACAGCGGGAGGAGGGTTCAGCTGCCAGTCACGGCTGCAGCCGACCCGAAACCAGTACCGGGGAACAGCTGATCAGCTACGTGAGGTAAATGTTCGCTACGTCACAACTTATTCAGCAAAAATGTTTCATCTGTCCTTTTGTGCATTGTTTTTTGAAAAACCCAAAAACCACCTCAAGCGAGCGCAAAAACTTTTTAGCGAGTTGAGGGTTTTTTTTTTTCGAATTTTGCTGTTTCCATCCGACTTTTTTTTTGCATTTTTAACGCGACACTTCTAAATGCGCATCAAAAAGCCTTGATGGAAACACACTTGATGAAAGTTACAGCTTTCTGAACGTGGGATGGATGGAGGGAAAGCATTTCTAGTCTCAGGTCAGGGGTCTTCAACAGGATAATGACTAAAAACAGCCAAGAATGTCTCGGAGGAAAACACTGGACTGTTCTGAAGAGGTCTGCTGTGATCCTGACCTGAACCCTGTTGAGCCTCTTTGGAAGGAGCTGAAACATGAAACCTGAGACACCTGGAGCAGTTTGTTCATGAGGAGTGGAACAGATACCTGCTGAGGTGCAGACGTCTCAGACAGTTACAGGAATCACTTGATTACAGTGATTTAATCAAAAGGTTGTACAAAATATTAAATAATTTCTGTCCAGGCCTGTTTCATGAGTTTTATTTTTGAAAGAATTCTATTGAAGCATGATTGAAAAGCAATGTCTGAATTTCATTTATTAATTTTTATAAAATTTTTATTTATTACTACTTTTGTCAGGTTATTTCTGTGACCGTTGTGGGTTTTTCTTTCATTAAAAGAGGAATACCAACAGTTTTGTCCACATGTGTATTTTCATCACTGGCTTTAAAATGAAAGGATATAAAGAAAAATGACCAGATCACCAATTTTTACTTAAAATGCACATTTCAACATATTACATGTTTCTGTTTAATGTTAAGTTTTAAATTGCTGTAACAAAAACAAATCCAACTCTGATCATCCCAACAAGCAGTCATCAAACAAAGACCTTTTTGTGCTCGTTAATTAAAGGGCTAAAGTTCTTCTGTTTTCATTAAAGACATCATAAATAAAAGAGATGACCTACAAAGAATGATACGAGGTCATATTTCTGAAAGGCAGAAACGTTTTTTTATTGTGTGATATTATTAATCCAGAGTCAGGATGACAAACGCTGCTTCTTTGAGCAGCTTTTAAAAATGCAGATATTCTTTAAAGACACTTTAACAGAAACAGGGTCTGTCACAGAGCAGAGTCCTGACTCGCAGGACGTTTACCTTCAGCTCAGAAACCTGCGATGCGATGTGCCACATCAGACTCTCACTGAGGAACTTCATGCCGTACGGCCCCAGCAGCTCTGACAGCGAACGCATCTCTGTTCAAAAACATCGAAACAAACACTAAGCCTGGACTCTGTGGGCGTTCAGGTACAAAATGTAGGAATGGAGAAACAAATCAGTACTAGACCCCCCCACAGAGCTTTTACATCAGCAGAACGTCAGAGTGAATTAGTACCTGAGATGTCAGAGTATTCCTCAGCGTTGAAAGTCAGCTCGTTCTCAGTGGGCAGGTTGACGAAGGCCTTCATGGCAGGAAAATAAGCAATGTGTCCGTTACTGACCTGACGGAGCAACGTCTCCAAGTACCTAAAGACACAAGACACGGTTTAGTCCTGGTGTCAGTAAGTCTGTCTCTGAATGTGCAGGGGGGCACCTGACGCACCAGTTTGTGTATAAGCTGGTTATGGTGGGCTCGCCGTGGCTGTCCAGGTGCTGCGTCTGCTGCAGGAGCACGTTGTTGAAGACCCGAGTGATGTCGATGGTCACGTAGTTCTCTATGGACTGCAGCACCGTCATGTAGGCCCGGACACTGGTCAGCAGCTCACTGGGCTTGGCTATCTCCTGAGTAGCCTGGTTGTACATGGTCATTCCAACGATAGACCTGGAGACAGGACAGGACAGGACAGGACAGGACGGGTTTAAAGAGACAACATGGAGGAGCATGACTGTAAGACGCTTAAATTTCAGTCAAGATGTCTAAAACATCACAGCGTGTATTCAGAAAGTTGTGTCTCCTCAGTAACTCTAAACTGGTCCAAAGACGAATTTAGTTTGTTTCTTACTTGGTGAATCGGATCTCCAGGTGGGAGGTGAGGTACTCTCTGGGTGTGAAGGTGTGCTCCCACACCACCAGGTTGGGAACGTAGTTGATGGAGAAGCAGAGTTCAGATAATGCTGTGTGGAGTTTATCTAGACTGGAAGAAACAGGGAGGAGGAACAAGAAGCTCAAACTGAATCTTATCAGAGAACGCATCATCTACTTCACCAAATAACACAAACGTTTTCATTGGTTTTGTTATTGGTTTAATGGTTTTAATACATTCAGCTTCTAAACTGAAGCATAACTAGTGATAAAACAGCCTGAGTATCACAGACAGACAGCTGGTATGTGGATGTCAAATAAAATTAAATGAAATGTTAGGTTTTAGTACTGACTTGGTGACCAGAAGTCGGTTCTTCCTCATGCTCTCCACTCCTGGTTTCTCCCTCTCAGGCTCTCCCTTCTTCCCTGTGGCCTTCTTGCTCTTCTTGTTCACAGCCTGGCTGATGGTTTTTGCACAGTGCTTAGGAAGGAGCTGAAGCAGAAGGAGGAGATGGAAGAGAAAAAAAGAAGAAGAAAGAAAGGCAGATGAAGAGGTAAATTACTCCGGTTCTCTTTTCAAACCAGACTAAATGAAAACAAGAGAAAATCATTTTCTTCCTGCATTTCTCCAGACATTAAATGGTCTGTGTTGGTCTTCCTACCTGGTCGCTGAGTGTACACTGCTCAGTGCAGATGTCAGTGATCAGGTTCCGGGCCTGTTTGGCCATCTCATCCAGGAACATGTTGCACAGTGACAGGCTTCGATCTCCAATGTGGTGACGCTGTGGGTGAAGACAAACATTAGCAGCTCTTCATAATGCTGGACATTAGCTGTGTTTTAACAGAAGTGAAATCTTCTCAATCTCTGCGTCAGTCTGTACCTCCTCTTCAGAGTTAAGTCCTACACACTCCGTGTAGGGCTGGGCTACAAGACCAAAAATTATTACTGTAATATTTTGAAGCTTTACCACAACACACTAAACACATCTCAGTAGTTTTTCATCCTAATTTTTTAAAATTCATTCAACAGTCCTGCCTGCTGCAGAGGTGACCTGCGACAGACATTACTCTCCTGAACCTCGTTCCAAATGGGATTAAATATGGCTTGTCAATTCCAACCCAAAAGCCTTTCGTCCTACCAAAAAGTCTGTCATACGACCAACAAGCCCTTTGTATCATTCACAAGTCCTTCGTCCTAATGACAAGCCCTTTGTATCATTCACAAGTCCTTCGTCCGACCCACAAGCCCTTGGTCCTAATGACAAGTCCTTCGTATGACCCACAAGCCCTTCGTACGACCCACTAGCCCTTCGTACGACCCACAAGCCCTTCGTCCGACCCACAAGCCCTTGGTCCTAATGACAAGTCCTTCGTACGACCCACAAGCCCTTCGTCCTGACGACAAGCCCTTCGTACGACCCACAAGCCCTTCTAATGATCCGCAAGTTGTTCTTACGACCGACAAGTCCTTCGAACGTGCCACAAGCCCTTTATACGACCAACAAGTCCTTCATCCTACCGACAAGCCCTTCCGTATGATCCACAAGTCCTTCGAACGTGCCACAAGCCCTTTGTACGACCAACAAGTCCTTCATCCTACCGACAAGCCCTTCCGTATGATCCACAAGTCCTTCGAACGTGCCACAAGCCCTTTGTACAACCAACAAGTCCTTCATCCTACCGACAAGCCCTTCGTATGATCCACAAGTCCTTCGTATGACCCACAAGCCCTTTGCCCACCCCACAAGCCCTTCTTATGATCAACAAGTCCTTCATACGACCGACAAGTCCTTTGTATGACCCACAAGCCCTTCATGTGACCGACAAGCCCTTCGTCCATTCACAACTTCTTCGTACAACCCACAAGCCCTTCGTATGATCCACAAGTCCTTCGTACGACACACATGCGCTTCATCCTACCGACAAGCCCTTTGTATCATCCACAAGTCCTTCGTACATGCCACAAGCCCTTCGTATGACCCACAAGCCTTCATCCTACCGACAAGCCATTCGTATGATCCACAAGTCCTTCGTACGACCGACAAGTTTTTCATACAACTCACAAGTCCTTCGTACGACCCACAGCTGAGAGAGTCTATCTTTGTATGACCCACGAGCCCTTCGTACGACCCATATGAAGTCAACACTAATCAGTTAGCTGTTAGCAGCATTGCCCTTATTCCTGGTGTCTAAAATGAGAACTTTTCAAAACACATTATTAATATTCTTTCATGAACTGGGTTTATGGCACCATCTCTGTGGGTGTTCTTACCTCCTCCGGACAGAGCTCATGTGTGCAGGACATGAAGTGTGCACAGAGCAGAGGAAAACAGATTGAGTGTCGACTTTGGGAGGGAAGCTCCAAGCACTGCTGGAACATTTTTTCAAATGCTCGGCTGTAGAAACTGCACACATAAAAACACAGAAGGAGATGGTTACAGGAAAAGTTTCCTGGAAACGAGCATGTGTGAAGTTCCAAGGTCTTTGTGTCTCACCAGAAAATAGACAAGTCTGATGTCTCTACTAGCATCTCCACCAGGGAGTCCACCATCTTTGTATGAAAGATGATGGTGTTCATCATTTTACCAAGCTCCTTGTGGTCAGCAATGCCAAGACTGGCTTTAGAAACACTGGTGTAGGCCTGCAAGAAGGAAACAAAATGTAAACCAGTATCTCACTGTGCTGCCATTGACTTGGATAGAGTTAAAAACCATTTGGGAGAAATATTTGTCCTAAGAATAATGTTATAATGTAAAAAATAAATAATAATGTAGGCAGCTGACACAAGCAAGAAAAACAGTTTCTAAAACTACTTCAAAGATTTAAAGTTGTCAATGGTTTTATTCTAAGACCAACCAAAACGTCATGTTTGAGCACAAAAAAATGAATCATGCAGCTTTACCTTGTGGGTAATGTGTGTTTATTTGACGAAACCCTAAACAACATGAAACAACGGTAGATTTCTGCTCTGCTGATGGAGAACCTGCATGCAGTGGTGTAGGTACAGCAGATGATTGGTTGGATTTTTGAATGTAATTTTTCAATATTGCTCAAGCTTGTTCAGATTTCTAACAGAACTTTGTAACTAGGGATGTCCCGATACCACTTTTTCACTTCCGATACGATACCGATATTACAACTTTGAGAAATGTCCGATACCGATATTGACCGATACCGATATTGACCCGTTACT